TGATTATAAATGCAACTTAATAAATAATTTTCATTTGAATGAAATAATTCAGGAAAATAAGGTCCATAATGAAGAGGAGTTCTGACGTACACTTCATATGATATGCAGTCGGATTTGTTACAACTTACATCAATATTCATTTCTAGAATATTTTGGAGTTTGGTATTTTTCCCTTTGGTTTAACAAATTTTGTAATAAATGAATTAAGAGACTCTTTCCTTCATTTTCTGGGTTCTTTCCCAGTAAAAAAAGATTTATTGAGCAAGCGATTTGGCTGATTGAGCAAGCCGTCTGCCCAATTGTCTAAACGACATTCGGACAATTGGACTGTTTGCTCAATCATCCAATGCATTATGCCCAATCACCAACATTGTATTTCGCGTCTAATAAAAGAAGAAATCGGTCCGAGTGTTGAGAAAATGATAAATCATGAATAATTATTGTTAAAAAGCAAGAAGTAATATATAAAAATACCTGAAATAAGAATAAATAACGAGTTTTGTAAAATGTTATTTTTTAGTTGACAGTGCACTGATGTAATATGAATTTTGTCGGTAAAAGTGAGGAGTATGATAAAGAGAAACGTTTCTTTATCGACTCGTGATACATTTCAATTGATAATAAAAAATTGTAGATTTCTTGTTTTTTTAAAAAATAAGGAGAAATTTCAATTGAGTATTTAAAAATAAATTTTAATTGATTTAATTTAATTTAATTAGTGGATTAATAAATCAGTGAAGTGAAGTGAATTAAATTAAATTAGGTTAAGTACATTGAATAGTGGTAAGTAATTATATTTTGTAAAATTATTATTTATTAATAGAATTATATTCTTTGTTAATTTGTCTAGTATTATTCTTTTTACAAAAAATAAGTATAAATAAAAACTGGTAAGTAAAATAATTGAATTTAATAATAATATATTTATATTATTAAACTCAATTAATTAAATAAAATAGGATTTTTATTAATAGAAACAATAAATAGGAGATTTAAATTAATCCAATTATTTTAAAGAAAATTTTATTTTTATATATCAAGGATCAAAATATAATTTACACTAAAACATATAATGCTCCCGGATCTATAATAAAAAAAACATCTAATTATTCAAATATTTGGCATATGAAGCAAAAATGCTGTTCTTTTTATAAATATATATAGTATCACGATAATTGTGAGAAAAATAATAATTAATATTAATTGGTCAATTTATTATTAAGTTAAATTTAAACATTTTTATTTGCGTCTTTTTTTATAAAAATTTAAATTAACAGTAAAATTTTTTAATTTTTTTTCAATATTTTTTTCAAATGACACCTTCCTAAAATATTGACCAAATAATTCTTGTTATGAGGCTCATTTTTTTATTTATACTTATTTTTTTGTAAAAAGAATAATACTAGACAAATTAACAAAGAATATAATTCTATTAATAAATAATAATTTTACAAAATATAATTACTTACCACTATTCAATGTACTTAACCTAATTTAATTTAATTCACTTCACTTCACTGATTTATTAATCCACTAATTAAATTAAATTAAATCAATTAAAATTTATTTTTAAATACTCAATTGAAATTTCTCCTTATTTTTTAAAAAAACAAGAAATCTACAATTTTTTATTATCAATTGAAATGTATCACGAGTCGATAAAGAAACGTTTCTCTTTATCATACTCCTCACTTTTACCGACAAAATTCATATTACATCAGTGCACTGTCAACTAAAAAATAACATTTTACAAAACTCGTTATTTATTCTTATTTCAGGTATTTTTATATATTACTTCTTGCTTTTTAACAATAATTATTCATGATTTATCATTTTCTCAACACTCGGACCGATTTCTTCTTTTATTAGACGCGAAATACAATGTTGGTGATTGGGCATAATGCATTGGATGATTGAGCAAACAGTCCAATTGTCCGAATGTCGTTTAGACAATTGGGCAGACGGCTTGCTCAATCAGCCAAATCGCTTGCTCAATAAATCTTTTTTTACTGGGTTGTTAACAGCTGAAACAGTTTAGACACAGCAATTGATAAGTTTCGTCTCATAACTGTTGAAGAATTTTTAATTTTTACTTCTTATCATTTTTAATTCTTGGTTACTTGATGTTTGTGAATATAGAGGGCGCAACTGAAGTGAACGCGCAGATTGCTTGTGATCGCGGTGAGAGCGAGATCGGCTGTCACGAGTTTTTTGAGCGTGTTAATGTATATTTGTATATTTGGTTACCAGTAAACTATATAAAACATAAATCCTTTAACATAACTTTAATAGGAATTTCCACGATCTTTTCAAATTCCCATATAAACTATTAACAATAAAAAATAATGTGTATTAGCCATTAATAAAACTGAAATGAGTTTAAAAAACTAACAAAAATTTCATTCCACTTTAATTACATACATACGAAAATATTCGATTTCGTCTACATTTTTTAATTTCATTATCATTACAAAATTTATAAATAAGATGTTAAAAAAATATGGATAAAATTTATATTTTTTTAAGTCGTTTCATTAAAATGAATTTTTAGTATTAAAAAATAAATACTGTTATAATTGATTTTAGTAAAAATGCTTCTATTGCTCTTCAATCTTTGTTACTGAACAAATATATAAATTTTAAACAATGGAGTGCTATAAACGTTGAACTTACAATATCTTTATCGTTCAAGACAGGATATTTTTCTAACATTAGGAAGCGGATAATTTTTAGGCTTTTTGCTTTATTTGTAGTCGCGAATGTATTAAAAGTTCTTTAATTCGACCTCTATCCATATTCACTTTGTGCCACTTTTCTTAAATAAGTAAATGCAATTCATGGCCTGCCACTGATGCCTCTGTTATTTCGTTTATTTTGGCTTTCTTCAAAACACTTTGTTTCAAATTGCTATTTACACGTGATTTTGCGGTAGTCACGATATTTAATCGTTTTTTTTTATTGAAATTTGAATTTTTGGCAGTTTATTGTCACAAATTATAATTTTTGGGACCATTTAGAACATGTAAAATTGGTTGATATCAACAAAAAAAATCCTTCGTTCAATCACTAGTCAATACTATGTAGAAGAAGTGTGCCAAATTTCAGAGAAATCGGTGCTTTAGTTTTTGAGAAATCGTCACTACCGACTTTAAAAATAGAGTTTTGAGAAAACAGCGTTCAAAGTTAAATGAGATAAACGTTGGATTTTCTTTTTTATTTCATCGGTTTCACAGAAAATTAATAGGCATTAAAATAAGCTGCAACGCTTATTATTTTAATCCAATTTTGCTTATTTTAATCCATTTTGGTATTAAAATAAGCAACATTGGATTAAAATAAGAAGCGTTGCAGCTTATTTAAATGCCTTTTAATTTTCTGTGTTCGTTTCAAAATCTTTATTATGGGCTCGCTGATTACAAATCTGGCCTCAGTTTTCCAAAATTAAAAATGACTGATTCAAGAATGCGGACTAAGTAACTGAAAATCAATAGCACCAGGTGTCGGTCGAAACAAAAAGCGATTTCGAAAATTTTCTCTCTTTCCTAGAGTTTTACTCAAATTATCATAAAACTTTGGAAAAATATTCTTGACATGTTATACTATCAAATAAAAAAAAATTTCGATTTTTAGGGTTCCGTTCACGCAGTGAACTGAAACGGAACCCTTATGGTTTCACTCATGTGCGTACACAAAATCATGTCCCTCCTCTAAAACTTAGCCATTTTAATCAATTGAGCTCAAACTTGGTATACATACGTATTTTTGCGAGTAGATTAAAAGAAAAATTATAGCGAACCCGATTGGAATTGGATTGCAAATAGTTACATTCGAAAAACTAGAAATTTCTGAAAAAAGCGTGTCCCATCTTAACTTTTACAGTTTTGGAGCTAAGAAGCTGAAACTTGGTCCATATATTTAATTTCATGTGTAGATTTTACGAAAAATAGAGCTAACCCTTTTGAAATTAACTTAAATATTGCTTCGCTAGAAAAACTCAAAATACCTTTTTATCTTAACTTTAACAATTTTTTAGCCAACCATCTCAAACTTTGTACATATATATGTATATATTTACTAGCAAATTGAAAGAAAATTATAGGAAAATTATTTTTTTTTAAATATATATAAACATTTAAATAATCGTGAACGGAACCCTAGGTAAGCGAGTGTAACTCGCACTTGACCAATTTTTTTGTTTGACCCATGTAATCCCTTAAACAGAAGTATTATATAACAGACTTTTATTTGGATGGAATTTTGATTGGACAGAATTTTTATCCAACAGAAATGTTTTTTAACATTATTCTCACGCAAAATAATTTTCATTTAACCCTTGCGCGGCTGAACTGGGTCCCTCCCTCCCAGACAATTTGCTTTTTTATTTACTTTTATTTAAGAAAATATTTTTTCAAAATCGTTATTCAATTAGATAAGCCAATGCTATAACGTTCATTTTAAATAATATGTGAGCACAAAATACCGTCAAGTGGGATAACTTTGGACAGGGAGAATAATTCCGGACACTTATAATTTGTTGATTGAAAATGTTACCGAATATTTTCATTAAAGCTTCCAATTTAAAAACTCTCTGACTACATGTGATATTAAGTGATATTAAGTTATTGAAAGAGAAATTTTAACTGTCTGGAATTAGCCTCCCTGTCCGAAGTTACCCCACTTGACGATATTTAATAACCTGCTATTGATTCCTCTTTTTTATTAAATTAAAGCAGCTGGGTCCCTCGGACCCACCTCAGCCGCGCTCGTCAAAAAATAAACTCAATTATTTGAGGGTTAATAGAATATGAATGTAGCAAACTTTTCATTGGACAGAATCTTGATCTAGCAGAAGTTTCGAATAGAAGACCTTCTATCTATGGAAAGAAAAAGAATTTTTATATGACAAGGCGTGTTATGTAATGATGTTTGTGATGTTTATCACTTTGTGTTTTTATATAATTTAAAAAAAATAATTTTATAATATTTGTAATTTCTTTTAGGATTTGTGGATGATTATTATAAACCATCTCTTGGAATTGAAAAAGATATTCGTTTCCAAGAAAGATATCCGGAATTAAATCCACAATCTTTAGGTCGTTATCCTGTAGCAGAAGCACATCGTTATCCTGGTGAATTTAAGATATATCCATCTAAAGATCACTACTTGTCTGACGATAAATATAATAGAATTTACAAAAATCGTTATCCACCAAACTTTGACCATTATTCTCGTGAAAGATACCCAACAGATAAAAATTTTCTAAATGAAAACAAAATTCCTGTACGTGGACCTTATTATTCTGATAATTTTGAAAATTATCCTGTATATGAACCTCATAGTATAAATAGGTTTCCAATATACAGACGTCGATTTTTGAATATCTTGCCTCATTCACAAGTTCAACTTCTACAGGATCATTTTTCTAATCAAGAAAATTTACGATATTCATCTGGACATCCAAAAAATAACAGACGTTATCCAATAGAAGATTTTCCAAGTAAAGACATGTTCTTCAAAAGAGTAAGGTGAGTTTTTTGGTAAATCTATTTTAAAAAATTAATTTGCCTAATTAAGAAATATATGGGGCATTCTATTTTAAAATTATACCCTTAGTAAACAATTGACAATATAATACAATTTTCAAATAATTTTTTTCTCCTATTTAATTAAATCAAATTACTTTTTTATCCCTCAGGCACAAACATGGCGCTTTTAGATACGTGACGTCCGGATGTAAACCAATCATTTATTCTTCAGTTTGAAAATGGCGTCCATGTATGCCCTAGGGTAAAAACGAACAGCTGGCCCATGTGTTATTTTTGGCCTAGGGTAAAAGTAGACGCCATTGTCAAACGGTAGAACAAATGAATTGCTTTTTCACTAGGCCGTCAGATAACCTAAAAGCGTGACGATTGTGCCTTTGAAATAAAAAATATCGTAAGTAATATGTGTTCAAAAACAGCCAATTGTTTACGTTGGCTGCCTTTGGACCATTGTTGCTTAATATACTATTGCAATGAGTAGTTTCGAAAGTAAAATTTCTAAACTTTATTATTATAAATAAAATTTGTTCTTTAAATATTTAATTAGTATAAAAAATTTAGTTTGAAGGTTAAACTTCTAAATATCTCAAAACACATTTGAGTACCACCGTTTGAATACAGCGGCATTTGTTTTTACGATCTCTAATGTCAAAGAAATAATGTAAGGGGCCGTCCATAAACCACGTAGCCAGTTTAGGGGGAGGGGGGGGTTCAGTGAAATTCTACGGTAAACTACGTGGGGGAGGGGAGGGGTTCGAGCCATGACTACGTAGTTATATTTATTAAGTCATTTATTATGATATTTTTTAAATTGCGCGGGTAATTCTAATGTCGAATTGAGCGATATATGAATATAAAGTAGAATTTTTGTAAAATTAAATATGTATAAATTATTTTAAAATGATTATTATAAACTTGATGAAAATAAGAAAAATAATTGGGTCTCACGAATAATATGCCATGAAAATTATAAAATAGCATTTTTAGTGTTTCGAAATCACCTGCTTTTAGAAATATTACTTAATCAAAAGAAATTAATGCAAACAATATTGTAAACAAATTTTTATTAATTAAGAATTCTACAATTTACTAAATTTTCATTCATTGAAATTTTTAATTAGCTAAATTTTTATTTATCATAATTATTAGAATGAATTTCACTTTGTCGATTTTGCTGCCAAAACCAAATGGTAAATACATTATTATTTCATTTTAACAAACATTTAACTGGTAAGAATGTTTCAGTTAAACTTATTTTTATTAGAATTAATTTTTAATAGAAATTAAAAGTTATGTAATGTTAATATTATTAATTAATTATTCGAATTACTATATAATTTGAAAATTATATAACGTAAAATTTTCATTAAAAGTAATTTTTTCTTATTAAAAAACAGGTGTAATATATTCTTACAGATGAAATTTTTGTTAAATAAAATTTAAATCCCTTCAGGTATATTAAAAAGTGTGTAAAACCATATTTAAGAGCATTTAATTTATTGAAAAAATCATTAGTATAAATTATTTATTATTATTTTATTATTATTTATTATTATTAGTATAAAAAATTAAAATTCCTTATGTGTTCTTAAATTGAATTCTCTTTATTGGAAATTGTTATCTATTCAATAGAAATACATTTTTAAATAAGTAAAAAAAAACTACGTTCTACCAGTGGAGGGGGGGGGGGTTAGAGCGAAAGTCTACGTTGGTCTACATGGGGGGAGGGGGGGTCAAAAAGTGCCAAAAATTGGACTACGTAGTTTATGGACGGCCCCTAAGGTTAATGAAAATATAATATAAAAAATAAATTCCGCACTGTTAAATAAGTGATTCTCAATTCATACGAATTTCAACTCGTTTTTTCCTATGATACGTCTTTAATTATTTAAACAGAATCACTATCCAGTATGCACAAGAGTTTGTCGCGCGAGGGGATCGGGGGGCGAAGCCCCCTGACTACAAAAAAACCAACTTAAAAAAAATTAAAATTTAATAATTACACAATGTAAAACACTAAAAATAACACCTATATATTCAAAACAAATTAAAACATTATTAGAAACAAAAGTCAAAAAGTTCTCGCGATGCATTGAAATAAATACTTTTACTAGAGCTGTAAAATTTACAAAAGAAAATGAGGTTAGGTTAGGCGATGTTGCATTACAGACGCAAGAGACGGTAAGACTACGAAAGAGCACAAACAATGCTCTTTTTTGAACTCTTTTGTCATTTAGTGTATTTTCGTAACTTCGTACAATAAATGAAGATTTTACGTTCCCCTAAGGAGGTACAAATAACGCCATTTTTAGGATTGCCGTATAAAAAAAAATTATGATTCTACTTCCGATGATAGCGGTATATGAGTAGAATTAGCCAGAAAAATTTTTGCTTAATCGGTGCAATAGTTTTTTTTAGGATGTCCGCCAGGTCAAAAAACATTGTCTTGAGAAAAAGCGAATTTACAAAAACATGTCCTTTTTCAAGAAAATACCCCCTTACGCGCTAGGATACATTATATACAGGTATATATGAGTCATTCTCTTAAAAAAGGCACTTTAAAAAAGTGCTTATTTTTGTATTAATTATACATGATTTAGTATATGTAAAAACTAAAATAAAAAATATGATTTCAGGTCCGTGTAATGTGGGGTTGCCATACTGTCAGGGGTCAAACTTTTTTGAAAAATAATTTTCAAATCGCTGTAACATAAATTTAATGAATGAATTTTAAATCGCCCACATAGTTTTTTCTGCAGAATTTTCTAAACTTTAAGGGCGCACTCACACCTTCTTGGCTGCCTGCCTTCAGGAGTTGTCATGGTAACGTGCAGGAGTAACAGAGAGAGAAAATTCAAATTTGAATTTACTATCTTTATTATTCCTACACGTTGACATGACAACTCCTGTAGGCAGGCAGGCAGCCAAAAGGTGAGAGTGTACCCTCAAACTATGTACTGCAAAAATTCAAATAAAATATTTCATAGAAAAAATTCAAAAAAATTTTTTTTTAAATTTTAACCCCTTATGCCACTTTGATTATTTTAAAAATATCTCAAACTGTTCCTTATTTCATCACCTTTTTACCCCCCAAAGGGAATTTTGGAACAGGAATATTTGTATGAGTTATAAATTAAAACCTAGCTCAGCGCAACGCCCTGAATCTGAGAAAATGCTGTCGTGTATAGAATTTGAGTACCCAAAAATTCCTCTAGGTGGCTCTGATGTATGGTTTCTTACAACCAAGTTTATTCACGCATATTATAAGCAGGGATGTGTAATTAACATACTTCATGACTGTCACTTGGGATTGTTACGTATGTTATCTGCCTATGTTACTCGTTTGGTTTGCTACCAAACGTTTGTTAAATTTTATGACGTCAGTCAAAAGTAAACATAACCTCATTTTTTAATTCTACGATAATCGAAAACTATTCGTAATATTCTAATTATTTTACCATATTGGTCATTCTTTTGATAAATATCTAATATATTCTTTCCTCTAGTAAGTACCCCACTGAAAATTCCCACATAGGCTCCCATATGGGAAACCACATGGGTCCCTATATAGGAAGCCATATGGTTTCCTATACAAAATCGTATACGTAATTGGAACAGGAATTTGAATAGGAAATTAAGTCGGAATTATCATATGAATCCACATCCACACAGGAATGTACATTCCTATGTATATTCCTATTTCAATTCCTATAATATGAATTTTTTTTTCAACTCTAAGATATATATCTTTCAATAGTAGAGGTTCCTGATAGACTACAGAGATGAAAAAAATTTATTGCGCAGCCGAAAAAGTTGAAGAAAACTACTGCGCATGATATTAAGATATAATGTGCATTCATATGATAATTCCTACTTAATTTCCTATTCAAATTCCTGTTCCAATTACGTATACGATTTTGTATAGGAAACCATATGGCTTCCTATATAGGAGCCTATGTGGAGATTTTCAGTATGGTAGTCTCTGCTTGTAATAAATTTCATACTTGTATTTTTCTTTGAAAAAGTAATTTGAGCAAAACATAACACATGTTTTACAAAAAGTGAGGTTGTAACATTTCTTTGACGATTGTGACATTTGCTACGTTTGCGACAATTTAATAACACAGCCCCACAAAAAAAAAGTGTCATGTACTTTTGACCGGAATACCCTAACCCTATGTATTTTGACGCGCTGAACACGAATCCGAAGTCCGTTTTGCTCCATCACGTCAGCATTTTTTTCTAACCTCAAAAAACATGTCGGATTTTGAGAAGTAGGCGATTTTTTTAAAAATTGATGTATTAACTTCAAACTTGGTATCTGGGGGTTTTTTGTGTCGCTGATTACGAATCTGAAGTTAGATTTTCAAAATCAAAAATGGCAGATCCAATATGGCGGACGAATTTTGAAAAAAATTTAAGATTTACTTCAAACTTGGTATCTAGGGGTTTTTTGGGTCGCTGATTACGAATCTGATGTCAGATTTCCGAAATTCGATATGTCTGATTCAATATTAAGGAATTATTTTTAAAAAATTGTCAGATTATTATGAAATTTGGTATCTACAGGTTTTCTAAGTTGCTGACAAGTAACACTAGGGAAGTGCCATACGCCGATTTTTCAGAAACTTGGCAGTTTTGTAGTTTTTTGAAAACAATTTGACACGTATGTTTTGATTTTCCCCAAAAGCTGATTTATGGGGGGGAAATACCCCTTGAATTTTTTTTTGGTAGGGGGACATTATTTTACGAAATTTTTCAAAAATTAATGTGCAATAGTGTATCTGGGGGTTTTTTGGGTCACTGATTACGAATCTGATGTCAGATTTCAAAAATTCAAAATGGCATATCCAACATGGGCTCCTATCAGCCACATTAGATACGCCATTATCAATTTTTGAAAACTGACATCAGCTTCGTAATCAGCGACCCAAAAAACCCCTAGATACCAAGTTTGAAGTAAATCTAAAATTTTTTTCAAA